GACGCGCGCAACCAATCAACGGCGCGGGAGCAGGCGCGGCCCGGCGCGCAGGGGGAAGTCGGGACAGAATCCTCCCGCACAGAGGACCTTGCCTGCCACCCGAGGTCCGCGTTGCTTCCCCGAACCAGGCGTGCCCAGCGAGAGGGAAGAAACTTAAAGAGTAGAGGGCTTGGTATGGAGACTGGTGTGGGTGGCCGTCGCTGAACAAATATGGGTCTCTTGAGCAAAAGGCAATTTTTGCTAGCTGGAAGGAAGGTTTGGAGCACTTCTGAGAGGGCTGCAGGTCGCAAGGGGTTGTTTCAATAAATGTGTAGGCCACCCTGGAGACCCTGGCGGAAGCACATGTAAACTTCCAGGAGCAGACCACACTAGGCTGGGCTGCTGGGCTGGGGTTAGCATGGCCCCATCTCTACTAGGCACTTGGAATACCCACACCTGCTCCCCCCTCTATTTGGAAATTCCATAAACACCGAAAAATACATAAAACACAAATGAACAGGTGGAGAAATTGCTGCGTAATGAGCCCTTGTGGGTGCTAGAGCACCAGAAACCCGACCACAGGCCTACACAGGGGCCGGCTGGGTTATAGCTACGGCTTGGCCATTCTTTTAGCTCTATGACTTCAGAGGGTCTTCCTCAGCCGGAGGTGTTTAGCTCCCTTTGGCCCCATTGTAAACATCATTCTGCAGGACCTGATTTCTTGCCGCATTCATCATAGCTGTGGGTGATACATTTTCTTTGCTGTATAGTACTCTATGGAAAGATACTCCACAATTTGCTTTTCTATGGGCATCTGGTTCTTTGGAGCTGGGGCCGCAGCACAGCCTTGCCTGAGACACCGTATGCATGTGAGTATGGCTGCTTGTGGAGTAAGGCTGTAAATACATGGGTGGCGTTTCAGGCTCTTTTCACGTAGTATCTTCAGGTTTATAAGATGTGAAACTGTCTTCTAAAGCATATGTACCAAGACATAGTTTCGGGAGCTAGAAACATGGTTCAGCAGGTAGAGTGCAGCCTCTCTTCCAGAGGGCCTGGGTTTGATTCCCAGCATCCACATGGTGGCTTACAACCAGCTGTAACTACAGTTCCAGGAGATCCAACACCACCTTCTGGCTTCCTTGGGCACCATTCAGGCAAAGCAATCATACATATAAAATGAAATAAAAAACGTTTTTAGAAGAAGGAAATCAGGCAGGCATATCTTTGTGAGTTCGAAGCCAGCCTGGTCTACAGAGCAAATTCCAGGACAGGCTCCAAAGCCACAGAGAAACCCTGTCTGGAAAAACCAGAAGAGGAGGAGGAGGAGGAAGAATTTAAAATACAATTAATTGTTTTAATTATAAAGGAACACTTTTTATAGGTGCAGGCTTGTCATCCCAGCAGTGAAGCTGAGGCAGGAAGATGGTGATTTATCACGAATTTCACTAAGTGTGTGCAGACTGGAAAGCTGAGTGTGAAAAGAGAAGAGAGAGAGGCTGAGGAGGCAAATCTTCAGATAGTTAAAGCATGCTTGGGCCACACACACATCAGTATTTGAGTTCATTTGGGATATTCTAGAACAATGAAATGTCTGCATATACATTCCTAATTCTGTGCCTTTGGAGGGGCACTTTTAAGATTTTTTTAAAAGTTTGTCCAAACAATATTACACACTTGTCACTCAAGAACTCAAGAAGTGGAGCCAGGAGGATTGCTGTAAGTTCTGGGTTACAGATGAGTTCCAGGCTAGTCTAGAAGACAGTGTCAAATCCTGCCTCAAAAAAAAAAAAAAAAAAAAAAAGAACTGTGTAAAATCACAAGAATTTCATACACTCGAACTGTGGTTAAAGCACACAGGGCAGACACAGTCAACAAGACAAAATGGCATCATACAGAATGGTAAAAGATCTTTAGCAACCTCACATCTGACAGAGGGCTGATCTCTGTCAAATATACAAATAACTCAAGAAACTAGACGTCAAAAGACCAAATAATCCAATAAAAATAAATGTTGAGAGAACTCTCAACAGAGTAATCTCAGATGTCTAAAAGACACTTAAGGAAATGCTCAACATCCTTAGTCATCAGAGAAATGCAAATCAAAACAACTCTTGAGATTCCATCTTACACCTGTCAGAATGGCTAAGATCAAAAACTCTGATGACAGTTTATGCTGGAGAGGATGTGGAGTAAGGGGATCACTCATCCATTGGTGGTGGGAGTGAAAACCTGTACAGCTGCTGTGGAGATCACTATGGCGGTTTCTCAGAAAATTGGGAGTCAATCTACCTCAAGACCCAGTACTACCACTTTTGGGCATATACCTATAAATATATATGTTCAACCACAAGGACATTGTTCATAGCAACACTATTTGTGATAACCAGATCTTGGAAACAATTTAGATGCCCTTCAACCAAAGAATGGTTATAGAAAATGTGGTATATTGGCCGGGTGTTGGTGGTGCACGCCTTTAATCCCAGCACTTGGGAGGCAAAGGCAGAGGCAGGCAGATCTCTGTAAGTTCGAGGCCAGCCTGGTCTCCAGAGCGAGTGCCAGGATAAGCTCCAAAGCTACACAGAGAAACCCTGTCTCGAAAAACAAACAAAAAGAGAGAGAGAGAGAGAAAAGAAAAGAAAATGTGGTATATTTACAGAGTAAGGTATTACTCAGTGGTTAAAAAAAAAAATGACATCTTGAAATTTGCAGGCAAATAGATGGAACTGGAAAAAGCCATCCTGAGTGAGGTAACCCAGACCCAGGAAGACAAATATAATATGTACTCACTCATAAGTGGATAATAGACATACAGCAAAAGACAACCAGTCTACAGGCCACAGCCCCAGAGAACCTAGGTAACAAACAGGTCCCAAAGAGAGACGTACATGGATCCCCCTAGGCAGGAAGAAGAGACAAGATCTCCCGAGTAAATTGGGAGCTTGGGGGTGGGGGAAGGGTGGTGGGGGAAAGGAAGAAGGGAAGGGGAGTGGGAAAAATATATAGCTCAATAAAAAAATGCACAAAAAGAAGTCTCTTCGTGAGGAAAAGAAGAAAAGCACACAGGGCAGAGCTATGAGAGGGAGCTCAGGGCATTTCTTCAAACAGTGATATTATATCTGACAGTGTTCCACTTCTCACAATCTCAAGGCCAGTAGCATCCAGCTTGAAACAGGAAGCCATTGCCTGAGTACAGATTCAGGGGGCTAGCCCCAGGAGACTCGGTGGTGAGTGTTAGGGGAACTTGCACCACGAGGGGCCCTGCCCGGAAGGCTGTTGAGATCCATCTCCACCTGCAGGATCTCTGAGTTCCCTGGAGATGCTCGGGCCAGAGTGGACCTGGAGGAGGGAGTCCCGGGATACAGCTCCCAAAGAGTCTCCATTTG